ACAATCTTTAGATAATTTTGTCATCTTTCATTTGACACCTTGATCATTTGTGTGATATTACCCATTTTGGCTGAAAGTGTACCTGCGTGATTCAAGATCTTGCTGAAAAAAGCTGTTGACTAGAAAAGAAAACTAAAAATTCGAAAAAAAGTTGCTGTGTGCGCGTTGTCCCCCCTTAAACCAAAAATGTGTTGTGAGAATGAACATCAGTAGAGAAGCTTTATTATATTATCACATACAGTAGAGAGAGAAAGAGAAGAGAGACAAACTAGAAAGGGAGAGCGAGTGAGAAAGAAAAGAGAGAACAGTTCAGTTGAGAACAGCAACAGAAAACATCAACAAGAATAATAACAGATAAAGGAAATAATGGAACAATTAGAAATGATCCTAACAAGAATGACAGATTGGTAGTGTTGCTCAATGGCAAACACTTGCGACCACGTCGTGCAACGTTGAGAGTAGAGCACGTGAGAGAGAAAGAGAGAGAGAGAGAGAGAAAGAGAATTAACAAATGCTCGACGAATGCTCCAATGGTCGACAGAGGATGGAAGCGGAAAAGAGGTGAGTGAGAGAGTGAGAAAGCGGAAGAACATTGCAATGGGAAGTGAATAAATAAAGAGGGAGGGTGTAAATAAATATCAGTGAGGGCTCTGTAGTAAAATATAGTAGTCGAAATGGCTTGTCGAACGCACATCATCATCCATGGGTCGATTTGTACTCTGGTTGCGGTGTCTCACTGGCCATCGTCTGACATTGCTCGACCTACTCGCCGAGGCATCAGACTGGCAGGCGAACTTTGTTAGTTAGATTCGTAATCACATTTAAATCATTTTCTCAAATGACTCTTTTCAAAGAGAAACGGTAGTTGGGCAAGAAAAAAAGAGGAAAGATGGAAGTGAAATCTTGTACTCGAGAAAACAAAAGACGGAGCCTACAAAAGGAAAGAGAAAAGATGAAAAAGNGTTCTCAGAGAGAAACGGTAGTTGGGCAAGAAAAAAAGAGGAAAGATGGAAGTGAAATCTTGTACTCGAGAAAACAAAAGACGGAGCCTACAAAAGGAAAGAGAAAAGATGAAAAAGTGTTGAGAAGACTGTTGCACTGCCTGTAATGTTTCTGGTGCGATGACCCGTTCTGAAATTGCTTATAATAGTAGTAGTAGTAACAATATATCAATGTTTTCATTGTGAAAAAGACAACGGTGTATAAACATATGAAAGAGATGTTCAACAGGAGGAGGGAGGGAGGGGAATCATTAAAGAGAGAATCGCTTGTTTTGCTTTGCATAGTCCAAGTGTCATCCAGTATGGCGTGCACTTTCGATCACTGATCACCTAGAGTTTGTTAGAGACAGAGGACACTGTCTGTTTTCTCGACTTGCGTTTTGAGACACACACTCACGCATTTCGATTCATGTGAAGATGAGAGCGAACAAGAGAAAGAAAGCCAAAGCCTTTCCTTTCGTGAGGCAAAGTGAAAGATGAGAGTGACCGCAGTTGAGAGCGGCACATTGAGATGCGAATGAAAATGGAGTCATAGAAAAAATGGTCGAATGGCGGTGATTTGAAGGAGATAAAGTGACGGTACAGTGACAGTTGCTGGGGATGATGATGATTTGGGTGAGCGTAATGAAAGAAAAAGCAGTGTGGAATGGCGCCCTGCATCAGTGGAGAACGTCCTGGCGCCAGTTGCTCCTCTCGCCGCTTCTACTACTGCTGCTGCTGCTGAGCCTGCTGGCCCACCGAATGAGCAGAGGGCATGGTGGCACCTGTGAACTGGTGATTATGCGGAATATTTAGATTGCTCTTGCTGTCCAGGGGCACATCGTCCAACTCTGTCTTGATCACCACTCGAACGCCATTGTTGGACACTACGCTGGCAATGGTCGGACTTGCAAAGGGAACCTGTCGTGACAGGGAAGCTGCCGCTTGCTGTTGCTGCTGCTGTTGTTGTTGGTTGTTATTAGAATTGGCATTATTATTGGTGGCACTACTGCTGGTGCTCGCTTGGTTGCCGCTGCCTCGCTGGTTTGCCTGTTGCGATTGATGAGTTTTTGTGTGAGCCGTCAGATTGCCTGATTTAGAGCAAAAACGTTAGTTTGTATTGCACAGTTTGTACAAACAGCTTGAGCTAACCTCGATTGGCAAAGCCCTTGCCACAGATTTCACACTTGAATGGTTTAACGCCTTTAAAAGTTAAAAAAGAGAGCAGTTAGAAAAAGTACACAAAAAAGTGCGTTTACCTGTATGAACGCTCATATGACGTTTCACAGTTGATTTCTAAGGAATATAACACACAAAATAATTTTCAGTATAGGAAAATGCAAACGAAAAATACCTGAGAAAACTTTTTGCCACAAATGGTACAGGAAAATGGCTTTTCGCCAGTGTGTATTCGCATGTGAATTTTAATTCGCTCTTTATCAGCAAATCTCTTATTGCAAATCTAAAGAAATTAACATGAGTTAGCCAAGGTCAACTGCTATCCAATCAACAATGTTTTTCCCATACCTGACAAGGAAATGGTCTTTCTCCGGTGTGAGATCTCATGTGTCTAGTGAGTGAGGTTTTTTGCGAGAATCGATTATTGCACAGGTGACAGGAAAAAGGCTTTTCACCCGAGTGCGATCTTAAATGCAATTGGTAAACGTTCTTTGAGGCCAAATTCTTTCCACAAAGCACACACTTGAACGGTTTTGCAGGGTCCTCCGAAATGATCGGCGGTGGATGGATGTTTTTTCCTGCACAGCAAAGCAAAGAGTACAGAAATTAAAAAGGGTCATTAATAATTCAGTTTGTGCCTACCTGCAATAGACACACTGCTTAAAGTGTTTGCACTCTTTGAGCCACCTTTGGAGGCGCTCTTTGAGGGCGCTTTTGTGGATTTAGTAGCCAGCGGAGGGGGCGCAGCTGATGTGCTCGGGAGTGAAAGGTTGGAGATGATGGTGCCAGCTGTTGAGGGTTGCGAGTGGCCAGTGGAGGCAGCAGCGACGGCAGCAAACTGCTGCACCGAGGGCTGCTGTACAAAGTGACCCAGTGCGGCCTGTGAGATGGTGAGGTGTTGCGACCGAGGCACTCCACCAGCACCAGCACCCCCGGCAGCAGCCAGTGCAGCCTGAGTGATGGCACTGGTCACCACGGGTATGGGCACAAAGTTGGCCACAGAGCGTGACGCCTGCGACCCGGGAATGTGGTTGCCGCCGCCCAGTGGAACCGACGAGAGAATGATGCCATGGGTGGGCAGATGCTGTCCGGGCACCATTCCACCACCGGGACCGTTGTTGAGCGTCGGCAGAGCAGTGGCTGCCAGCGCTGCCATCTGACCTTGGTGAATGCCGCCTGGCAGTGCAAACTTGGGGTTCAGCGAAATGAGCGTAGCAGCCGGGGCGGCAGTGGGCGTCACTGCGGGACTGCCAGTGCCACTGGACTCGTTGCTCTCCGATGAGGGCACGGAATGTAGCATGATTTTCTGCGTCACCGTCTTTACTGCCTGTGCTGGCTGCTGCTGCTGTTGTTGGTGTGCCTGCAGTGATCGACCCTGTTGAATGGTTGCCGGTTCAAGTGACAAAATGGAGTAGTTCATGTTTGGATCATGAAGCAGGCGAAGGTTGCCGGTCGCCGCCGCTGCAGCGTTGAAAAAGATCTGCCCCTGAGAGGAAACGACGCTGGCCGTCGAGGAGACCACCTGCTGAATGCGACCGCTGTACTGAGATCCACTTTGAATTGAGCTGCTCACGCCTGAGGTTGGGTAGCAGGAGACGTTGTTGCCGCTGATGCTGGCCACTGCCAAACTGCTGTTAGCTCCTGAAGCAATAGACAGGCTCGAGGGTGGCGGTGCAAATTGACCCGTTTGCTGCAGTAGAATGTTCCCTTTAGGGTAGGTTTGTTCAGCACCTGACAAACAAATAAAAATAGACAAATTGTTAGCAACTCAAAGAGCAATGCTCAAAATGGGTCTAAATTGAGCAGTTGAATTCTCTAACATGTTATATACCGTTGGAAAGCTAATTTTTTGCTGATCACAATTCTTAAATAGATATCTTGAGGTAAAAAGTCGTTGGGAAGATTCTTACACGAGTAAGCCTTAAATACTATTGTTTTTGACTGATACTTAGTCATAAAAAACAAAATTGCAAAGTTCGAAATTATTAAAAATAGCAAAACTGTCAAACTCAAGCTGTTTCTATAGAAAACTTTATTGAGTGTCGTGCAAGAAGTACTTCTCACCTCAAGATATCTATTTAAGAATTGCGATCAGCAAAAAATTAGCTTTCCAACGGTATATAACATGTTAAAGAATTCAACTGCTCAATTTAGACCCANCCTTTAGGGTAGGTTTGTTCAGCACCTGACAAACAAATAAAAATAGACAAATTGTTAGCAACTCAAATTAGAAAAAAATTCTTTTAAAAAGCATACTTTCACTGCTAGGAACAAAAGATTTGATGGAAACATTCTGNGAAAAAAATTCTTTTTAAAAGCATACTTTCACTGCTAGGAACAAAAGATTTGATGGAAACATTCTGCAAATTGGACACCGAGGTCGGTGAGGTGATGACGAGATTGCCTGATGCTGTTTGCTGCTGCTGATGTTGCTGCTGTGATTGCATTTGCTGCTGAGATTGAAGGGATTGAGCTTGATTGAAGGAANAAAATAGCAAAACTGTCAAACTCAAGCTGTTTCTATAGAAAACTTTATTGAGTGTCGTGCAAGAAGTACTTCTCACCTCAAGATATCTATTTAAGAATTGCGATCAGCAAAAAATTAGCTTTCCAACGGTATATAACATGTTAAAGAATTCAACTGCTCAATTTAGACCCAAAAATGACTTATTTTGGGCATTGCTCTTAGAAAAAAATTCTTTTTAAAAGCATACTTTCACTGCTAGGAACAAAAGATTTGATGGAAACATTCTGCAAATTGGACACCGAGGTCGGTGAGGTGATGACGAGATTGCCTGCTCCTGTTTGCTGCTGCTGATGTTGCTGCTGTGATTGCATTTGCTGCTGAGATTGAAGGGATTGAGCTTGATTGAAGGAAGCCAGATTGGACGAAAGGAGCATTGTCTGAACAATGTTCGGGTTCACTGATGTGCTCGAACTGGGAGGTGGTGCAGCAGTCGCTGAAACTGCTGATACTATGGGTGGCTGCTGGCTGGAGAGGGCAGGAGGAGGAGGAGGAAGGACACTGCTCGCAGTGACGGAAGACTTTGAGGCAAAGAGCAGCGTAGAGGCAGTGGGGGCACTATGCGGATTATGTTGACTCACACTGGTGTTTACTGCAGTTGCTGTTTCTACTGGGTTGCCGCCGTAGCGAAGCTTCTTCGGAGGCAACGGTGAAAAGGAGGTGGCTGAAACGTTTACTTGAGCTTGTGATGACGACTGCTGCTGCTGCTGCTGCAGTGTTGGCAGTAAAGTCGGCGCATTTGGATCGGTTATCACACCAACAGAGCGGAGGCCACTTTGGTTGGCGGAAGTTGGCTGCGGCAGTCCTGCCATTGTCACTGTTGGCACATTGCTTGCCAGGGAAATGCAAATCTGCTGCTGCGGCGGCTGCTGTTGTTGCGTGCCTGACGCCGGAAATGTACCTGAGCTAGAGGGCGGTAGTGGCGCAGGTGGTGGGCGTGCCTGCTGAGAAGGTGAAAGGACGTCATCATGGGCTGCCTGTGATTGCTGCTGCTTGAGCAATTGCTGTTGCTGCTGCTGTTGCTGCTGCTGTTGCTGTTGCTGTTGCTGTTGAGATGGCACCTGTTGCATTTGTTGCAGTGCTGCAAAAGATTACCAAAAATGATCTGAATTATCACAAACAACCAACTGATTAAAGTCTTACAGTTATCGCCAGTCGACTGTTGGTGGCCACTGCCTAAGGCGTTCGGGTCATTGAGCAAAAGTCGAGACTGCTGTTGAACAGGTTGAGTCTGCACTTCGTATTGCATCTGCTCAACACTAGGCAGTGGCTTGGCAGCTTCAGTAGAGTAGTGTGTCACGGTGTTTGGCTGGCTCACACCTGGTTCACATTTGACGTACACAAAACAGCTTTGCTGCTGTTGCTGCTGGCCCAAAGATGACGAGGGACCCGATTGAGAAGAACTAATCGACTGCTGTTCAAATTGACTCAGAATTTGGCCACCACCACTGCTGCTGTTGCCATTGCCTGACTCACTAGTGGGCATACTACTGCCTACGTTTCCATTCGAATGACTACTGACGCCATTGTTAGAGCTTGAGGTGGAGGTGTGAATGGTTTCAGTTGAGGATGACATGTAGTGCTGTGATGCAGTCCTCTGATGGCCAGTGCTCATGGACAGTGGCTGCTGTTGCTGGGGTGCGTTCGATGTGGACGACGAGGATGGCGGATGTGGCAGAGAAGGAATTTGCCCTTCAGCATGATGAAGTGGCACTTGGTGGTGAAGGTACGACTGAGCACTCTGTGGGCCACCGTCTGTAGATGACTGCAGCATGTACGTCTCTGCTGAGGTGCTCTGGTAGCTGCCCAAGTCTGGCTTGATTTCAGAACTGGTCGAAACCGAAGTAGACTGTGGGGTAGATGTCATCTGTTTTGGTGAACAGAATAAAATAATCTCTACTGGTCATTTTGAACCAGACAAAAACAAAAGATTTACCGTATCGACAGAGACTGTATTTGAGCTTTGAGACGATAGCTGTTGTTGTTGCTGCTGTTGAAGAGGTGCACTAGAGCTGCTCATGTCGTCCATTGACGATGAAGAAGTTGACATCAACTGAGACTGACCATACTGATCCAGTGAAGGCGTAGCTGGCGCTGCGTAGAAAACAGTGGCCGAACGAGTTAGTTGAACCGCCATTTTAGAATTAGAATAGTTGAAGGCAACAAGTGGCTGAATTGTTCCTCCTCCTTCTCCTCCTTTATGAAAAGTAAAAAGAATTCTCTAAATCAAGTTTACTTTGTGTACGCAACTGTACACAGCCTAGAGGACTGGGTCACTATCTGTCTATCTAGCTGTTCCCATTACTACCAACAGACAGTAGACAGCGGTGGTAGTGGCAATGGGGAGGCGCAATGACAGTAAATGAGCTGCGATTCCACTGCTGAGCAGCGACAGCAGTGATGGCTGTGCTGGTGCGAAAGAGAGCCTATGTTTCGGTGTCTCGGTCATGATCGTGTACAGTATTTTGTGGGGCACACACAAACACACAGAGAGAGGTTTATACAGCACGATGCGGCGGTAGCCTTCAACAAGGCCAGCCAACCTGATACTGAGAGAGGGAGGGAGGGTGAACATTGCCTCGATAGAATCTTATCAAGCACAGTAAAACAGTGCTCGCCGATTGAGTGCATGAGATACCGTTCATCAATGCACACTGGTGGAGAGCTGGTGCTCGCCAACTGTCACTCGACCAATTTTATGATGCTGCTCTATCTACCTTCCTATCAGTTCTTTTTTCAGGCAAACGACACCCTTGCGATTGTGCTGAGGATGACTTCTAATCGGNCTTTTATGATGCTGCTCTATCTACCTTCCTATCAGTTCTTTTTTCAGGCAAACGACATCCTTGCGATTGTGCTGAGGATGACTTCTAATCGGAGAGACTGACTGACTACGTGCACGAGTTCGAGGGTTTACAAAGTGCAGCACTAAGCTTAATTGTAGCTTTCTCTCTTTCTGCGGTGGCCTTTCACTTTTCTCTATTGAATTACCATTGGCCACCATGGAGTGGTGCTGAGAATGATGTGGCTGCTGCTGCTGTGGCTGTTGTTGTTGTTGTTGCTGAAGAGGCATCGTTTGTCCGTGATTTAGATTTATTTGCTGGTTAGCAATTGGTCGATGGTGCTGTTGGGCTGTCGAATGTTGTGCCTGTGCTCGGCCAGACGTTGGCGTGGATGGCTGCTGCTGTGGCTGTTGCTGTTGCAAAGGCGGGAGATGATGAGAGTGGTAGAGACTGCTTGGGTCATTGGAAACCATCTGACTATCCACTTGGCCGCCTGATTGCTGCTGATGCTGTTGTTGCTGTTGCTGGTTAGTCATTGCCGCTTCGATGTTGCTGCCGCTGAAAGCATGCTGCTGTTGCATTTGCGCTTCATCTGAGTAACCTAAAAGTATTGCGTCATAAAGAGAAGGTCAAAATAAATCATTTTCACTTTTTAATTGCTTGTGCTTACAAGGGTAATTGCTCGGAAGCGTCATTTCCAGTACATTAGATTGCCCTTCATTTGACCCCGAGGAAGGAACTAACTGGGGATTGTGCTGCTGTTGCTGTGCGGCCAGTTCCTGGCCTGACATCATCGTCTGACCAGGACCACCGTTGCCATTGCTGCCAGCCATCACACTGCTCGAGTTGGTGGTATTCATCATCTGTCCGGCATCTGCTTTCATGTAGCAATTAGTTATCATGAGCAATACTGAGAACAAAAGTGTGCACTCACTTGTAGATGTCATGTACTGCTGGACAGTGGAACTGTGTCCACCTGAGGACACCTGATTGTCCATATTGCACGAAGTGGTAGGCACTGAATTGGCGTTGCTGCTGTTGCTGTTGATGATGTTCTGTGGTGGTCTTTCATTCAGTAGAAGACCGCCTATGTTGTCCTTCAGCTCTTCACTGATTGGATTGTTGTTGGTGTCATTAGGCACTTGAACTACCTCACCAGAGTGAACAACGGTATTGTGCTGGGCAGCACCGTTGCCGTTCAATCGAAAGTGCCCAAAGTTAGGTGCGTTTTCCTGTTGTTGCTGTTGGCTTTGTACATGGTGTTGCGTCTCAAGCTGCTGATTGAGCTGTTGTTGCGTCAATGAGTCCACATTCGACGATTCCTGTTTTATATTCGGGTGCAAGAAGGACAAACAAAAAGAAAAAGAGAAAGAAACAATTTAATAGAGGGTCAGAGAGAAAGTGAAGGTGATCATGTGCGTTTGTGCGTGTGCTTTGTTTGTTTACTTGTGGCAGGGCTGACTGCAGTGGCGCAGGAGTGGAGAAGTAGTCAACCACCTTGGTCGTGGTTGTCGTCGGCGCACCGGACGTTTCTTGCATCGCAGACAGAGTGGTCGTCGTCGTCGTGTCGAGCATTGAGGAGCCAAAAAGCATGTACTCATTAGTCGGCAGACTGCTGTCACTGCTCACGTCTACGAGGGTGCCACCGCCGCCGACGCTGCTGCTGCTGTTTGCTGACGGTAAAATGAAGACACTGCCGTCGACCGCCCCTCCTATTGGGTGCTGGCTTTCCTGCGAGGAAAACGATGGCAAAATCTGCTGTTGTTGCTGCTGATGCTGCTCTGGATGCTGGTGCTGAAGACCAAAGTCGAGAATAGAAGTGTTGACGGAGAGGGAGAGAAGGGAGGGATTGGCTGATTCGGTGCTGGTGTCAGGCAGAAGTGCTGAGGGCATATGAGTGCCGACGTCCACACCGCCTCCACTGTCACTCGTCACCTGGTGGTGGTGCTGGTGTTCACTGGGCAGACTGCCGGTGTGGATGTTTGCTGCTCCACTGCTCGGTCCTGGCTGCAGCTCGGCGGCGCTGATCGTCGAATTGGAGTTGCCGTCAAACAGGTAGTCTCGATAGGTGAACTGACTGCCGAATATGCGCTCCTCACTGATTAGGTTCTTGCTGCTGATGTTCTCTGCGCTTGAATCACCACCCTCAAGTGCTACTTCTTCTTCTTCTTCTTCCTGATGTTGGTGGTGATACCTTTGCTGCAGTTGTTGCTGTTGTCCTAGTGCGCCTTTTTCCGTTTCCTCTTGCTGCTGCTGCTGTGCTTGTCGTCTGTCTTCGAAGCTAATCTCATTTGATTGCTCGCCCAGTGGGTTAGACATAGGTTACCAGCAGGTCCTGTGGGCTGCGTGGGAACTTGGCTGTCAATGCTGCGAAGGCAATTTAGGTAACTAAAACGTTTTCAAAAGGGTGCGATGTTTTGGTGCTGTAAATGACGGCAAGCCCACATTTCCGTTGACGTCGTTGGGTGTTCTAGGAACGTGCTGGCGTAGTTGGTCGACAAAAGGTTGACTTTCACCTATTAAAGGGAAAGCTAGAGAGAAAAAGTGTGAGATGGAAAGAGAGAGAAAAAGTAAGCGATGATAAACAGCGTGACCGGCTAAGGGGCAATCAGCAGAAGTTAGATTGCGCCAAGAAGAAGAGGACAAACACAAAGCAAAAAGATGGAGAGTACTGCACAGAGAAAGTAAAAGGGCATTGAAGTGACTCCGCAGAGACTGCGACAGTCACTCAGCATGTCTACCAATGGATATAATTGCTTAGGTTAATTAATTAATTAGCATGCAACGAGTGAATGGACAACGACAGACGCCAACAAAGACAGCATAGCAAAGCGAGTGGCAGCAACAAACTAAGGAGCAGACAGTGCAGGGAAATCAGAAAGGGGGCGAAAGGAGAAGTACAACAAGAACGCTATTATTGAGTCAGAGAGATAACAGTTTCGTAATCACTGGCTGCAAGAGAACACAGTCATTGAGAGAGAGAGAGAGATTGTCGTAGGACTAGTCAGTCGACAAAAAAGGGAGAACAGCACTCGTGCCAGAGAAGAGGACGCCTTGTGTTCATCACTCGTGTTGTTTGTCACCATGCGACTTTGGATGAAGAGGCAAAAACAAGAAAAAGAAACTCTTTTTTTTAGATCACAAACGAGACAAAAGATGACTTTGCCACCAAATGCGCTGGGGATGCAGGCATACCATTGTTGGAAGGCATACTTTTGACCTTAGCAAGTGTCATCTGATTACCCAACAATTACCTGACAGAGAGAGAAGTAGATGAGAAGAAGTCTGATTACCGTTTCTGCTGAAGTTTCTGGTTCTTCTGCCGGCCATTTCACTGTCCTCTGTCACCTTTGACAAACTAAACCGACACAAACAGACAGAAAAACTGGTTCACTAAATTGGTTGACTGGTTTCGATGCCGGTGAATAGCAGCAACAGCAGCTGCTGCAAAGTCAAATAATAAAACAATAAAATAGAAAGACGACAGACAGTGTCTGTGTGAGAGTGAGCAGAGAAGTCATTCGCTGGCTCGTCAGCTGGTTGTAGGTTAGTGGTGCTGGTGGGCGCACTTTAGAGGGCGGAAAGGAGGCCACAGTCTGTCGGTGTGTGCTTCGCTGACAGTAGGCCACTGGCACAGCCACTGCCGAGAGCACCTTTAGCCGCAGTGCCCCTCCATTGACCAGCTTGATCACAACCTGCCGGTGGTTTCTCAGAAGAATTGGTTTCTAATAAGAAATGCCTGGCAATGTCTGGTTACCAGAGCAACCAGGACTGGTTGGCTAGCAGCCTGCCTGCCTGCCTGCCAGAGCAGGTCTAAACTTTCCGGTGCGACGCACTCTCCTTTCCTCAATTGCTCTGAACGGCGGTGGGCACAGTGATATTGCTGCTATTGCTGCTCTTGTTAGCACTGATCGGTTCTTCCTTTCTCTTTTGCTTCTTTGCTTACATTACCACATGCCTCTCCTTAGGAGAAGCATTTGAAGCAGCAGTCTTCACCCTGCTCAATCTCGACCTAGNCGGCTAGCTGCCTGCCTGCCTGCCTGCCTGCCAGAGCAGGTCTAAACTTTCCGGTGCGACGCACTCTCCTTTCCTCAATTGCTCTGAACGGTGGTGGGCACAGTGATATTGCTGCTATTGCCGCTCTTGTTAGCACTGATCGGTTCTTCCTTTCTCTTTTGCTTCTTTGCTTACATTACCACATGCCTCTCCTTAGGAGAAGCATTTGAAGCAGCAGTCTTCACCCTGCTCAATCTCGACCTAGTGTTCAGGTTTAGGTTTGCTGTCCCTCAGCAGTTTCCCCTAATAGTGCATTGTGTAAACTACTCCCCACTACTAATCCTATCTATTTTTATTATTCTACCCAATCATCTCTTACAGCTTGTTTGTTTGTGTAATTGATTAGCTGATCGGTGTGTGTGTGTGTGTGTGTGTGTGTGTATGTGCTTGCCTAGCATGATCGAGTGAGTGAACTTGGAGGGCTGCTTTGAAGTGCTTCCCGTTTCCTGAAGGGCACCCTATTCTCTAACTGTTATGCTGATGCAAGATTTACCAATAAATCATAGATTCTCACTTTCTCTCTGTTTGATCCAAAGTCAGCAATTGCTGATCAGAAAGTGGCAAATTGTACTTTGTCAAGAGTGAATTTGGTAAATTACCTAAATGAAAGTCTTTTTCACACTGAAATTGCAGCAACTCGCCCACACAAAGCATAATTTGACCTGAANTTACCCAATCATCTCTTACAGCTTGTTTGTTTGTGTAATTGATTAGCTGATTGGTGTGTGTGTGTATGTGCTTGCCTAGCATGATCGAGTGAGTGAACTTGGAGGGCTGCTTTGAAGTGCTTCCCGTTTCCTGAAGGGCACCCTATTCTCTAACTGTTATGCTGATGCAAGATTTACCAATAAATCATAGATTCTCACTTTCTCTCTGTTTGATCCAAAGTCAGCAATTGCTGATCAGAAAGTGGCAAATTGTACTTTGTCAAGAGTGAATTTGGTAAATTACCTAAATGAAAGTCTTTTTCACACTGAAATTGCAGCAACTCGCCCACACAAAGCATAATTTGACCTGAATTGCTACCTAATAATGGTGACTGAAAAGTTCACTTTGCCTCTGACTTTGGTTGACTAGGTGAAAACAGTTTGAGGGCACCAAAAAGCAAGCCAGTGCTTGGTGCTGCCTGTCGACAGTTGCAAACTACAAGACAGGTGCTATCGATTTAAGTTTGTGGACTAGAATATTATAGAGAAGTCTAATGCTTTGCTATTTTGAAGGCAAAAGTTCGGTGCTGGATTTTTAATAGTGGAAGTAGTATTTTGCAGTTGTATTCATTTGTATTNAATGAAAGTCTTCTTCACACTGAAATTGCAGCAACTCGCCCACACAAAGCATAATTTGACCTGAATTGCTACCTAATAATGGTGACTGAAAAGTTCACTTTGCCTCTGACTTTGGTTGACTAGGTGAAAACAGTTTGAGGGCACCAAAAAGCAAGCCAGTGCTTGGTGCTGCCTGTCGACAGTTGCAAACTACAAGACAGGTGCTATCGATTTAAGTTTGTGGACTAGAATATTATAGAGAAGTCTAATGCTTTGCTATTTTGAAGGCAAAAGTTCGGTGCTGGATTTTTAATAGTGGAAGTAGTATTTTGCAGTTGTATTCATTTGTATTCATTAAAATTTAAATATAGACGGCATATGCAAATTAAGTGGGAAAACATGCAAATTAATTACAACTGAAAGAGAGTGAGAACAAGCACAAAAAATAATTGTAAAAAATTACCGTAGCTCGTTGCAAAATTGGCGAATGGTAGAAAATGACAATAAAATATAAGCTTTATGCTGTTGTTAACTGAGATTAGACGTTGAGTTTGAGAACAATTTGAAAGATTTCACTAGTTGTCTCAAATGTTCAGAGAAGGAAGGAGTTGTATAGATCAGTGGTGAAGTGGTAACNGAAATTGGCGAATGGTAGAAAATAACAATAAAATATAAGCTTTATGCTGTTGTTAGCTGAGATTAGACGTTGAGTTTGAGAACAATTTGAAAGATTTCACTAGTTGTCTCAAAATGTTCAGAGAAGGAAGGAGTTGTATAGATCAGTGGTGAAGTGGTAACAGATTAGTAGTCGTGGGATGTGGTGACACTCACTAGCAATGCGATCACAATACACAGGTAGTATCACTTGATTGCCGGGTGAGCCTTTTTCTACCAATAAATATAATTATATAACAGTTATTTGACAATGACAACAAAAGCAGACAAAAACGACGAAAAAAGATTGATGAAAACGATAAGAAGAGAATAGTGAAGGAAGAGAATAACAAGAACAGAAGGAGGAGGAGGAAAAGAAGAACCAAACAAAACGATGTAGATCACGCTGACAAAATAGAAGAACTGGCGAAACTGAAGAGGAGAGAGAGTGGGGGAGACAAGATGAGAGTGCGAGCGAACTATTGAGAATCACAGATAGGTAGTAGTTGTGGTTTTTGAAAGTACTGCAAAAAGTGAAGCAAACAGAACATCACGAGAGAATGATGTTGGTGAAGGTGCTGAGGAAAGGGGTAGTCGGCTGGTGAACTGCTGCCTGCTGTGGTCATCAGTGAACAGTTGATGAGGCGAGTGCAGTTCCAGGCACCTCATAGCTTGGAAATGCTTGCCATTGGCAGGCGAAGTGAAGTCAACAAACAAAGTGGTCGATAGTGTTTGTCTTCGAGTTGAGGATGCTGCTGCTGCTGCTGCGGCTGATGCTGGCTCAATGTGTCTTCGGTGATCATTCGAGCACTGCCATCGTGCCAGTATCGCGCGATACAGCCACCGAGGTTCAGGCGCTGCTTATCTGGTGGACAAAAGAAACACTGATTAGTATTAATAGTAAGAGTAATAGTCTCGCGTCCGAGAGTGCTTCTCTGCTTTAGCAAGTGAACAGCAATCGGCATCACAGTGCCATCGTACATCACTGATTGTGGCCACTGATCTACCGATCCCCACTGATAGCTGTAATACCTACCAAATGAATATCCTTCGCTTATATCCGCCCTTTCCATCATCTGTACTTCTATTTTTGTTCAGTAAACGAATTGATTTTTTGTAGATAATTTGCACTTGAGGAGACTAAATGAGAGCAGGAGAATGTAGGGTTAAGAAGTGGCGACAGTAGTGTAATGTTAAGATGAAGTNTTTCTATTTTTGTTCAGTAAACGAATTGATTTTTTGTAGATAATTTGCACTTGAGAGGACTAAATGAAAGCAGGAGAATGTAGGGTTAAGAAGTGGCGACAGTAGTGTAATGTTAAGATGAAGTTTTTTCTGTTTTTG